CAAAGAGGAAGACACTTTGCTATATAACAAAGAGGAAGACACTTTGCCATATAGGCTCCAGCTTTTGTAAGATCAGAGAACTCTGGGTTTGATTTTCAGTGGTGTTTACTTCTCTTAAATATGAGTCTTTTAGGGCCTTTGTTTAGGTCTTTATGTAGAAATTAAAAGCAAGGGAGCCACAGAGTCTGGGATCTCTACTACGTTGTTTTAACGGTTGTTTCTTTTCTGTCCATGCAGCATCTCCCCTAACCTTGAGCTCGAGGCTCTGTTCAAGCGGCATTTTACTCAGGTGGAATTTTATCAGGGTTCTGTCCTCAATCCCCACGATCTTGCCAGAGTCAAGGTAAGGATAAACAAATGTCCTTACTCTCTCATGAGGATTGGGGCCATGATTCTCAGGGTAGTCAAGAGCCATCTTCTAAAGCATTAACAAGGTAACTCAGATGTTACTAACCCAAGTACTCTCTTTCGTTGGTCCCAGGACCTCGCTCTGTTGCTCACGCTAGACCATCTCTAAGTAATCCACACTTAGGTTTGTTTTAATACAGAACTTACTTTCCTCTTTTCTTCTAAATCAGCCACTCCCAAAGTAGGACTCCAGTGTGAAGTTGGGGCTATCTCATCCCCATGGTTCAGTGGGTAAAGGCACTCATTGCAAAGCCTGTTGATCTGAGTTTAAACTCCAGGACCTACTTGGTGGAAGGAGAGACCCAGTTCCCACAAATCGTCCTTTCGTTTTAATGTGCAAACACATGCACACGCGCACACAAACACACATGCACGTACAATTGTAAGAGGAATACTCATTTCCACAAAACTAGAAAAAGAAACAATGAAGCTACAATTACTGAAACACAATGTAGGGGTAAGATCTCAAACAGCAAGAAGAATAACAAATTGCCAGCAATAATGCATGCCTTTCAGTAATAACTTAAAATACGGAACATGGGCCCTACTTCCTCAGTCAACGACACAAATGATGCGAACAGGTTAAGAAAGAAGCCATCTTTCTGTTGTGTACATGAGACTCGTCTGACCCTCAAAGATGACAACCTCTTTAAAGAGAAAAGCTAGAAAAGCCGTCCTGAGCAGATGGGTGCAGAAAGCAAGCAGGCACCATTATCCCACTAGCCTACAAAGTAGACTTGAAACTAAAATTAGCCAGAAGAGACAAAGAGGGGTCCTTCATGCTAATCAAGAGAACAATTAACCAAGAAACTCTTACAATACTAAATATGTATATCCCAAACTCTGGTCCACCCAATTTCATAAAGCATTCTCCTGGACTCAAAGACACAGACTAACTTCAACTCTTTAACAGTGGGTGATTTCTATATTCCACTTTCTCTAATAATAAATAAATATAAAAACTAATGTTGAATGGCTAAAAAGCCATGCCCAATGTAGCATCAAAGATGATTAATTTCCACCTAATTGAACTCAGCATAGCTTTCATATCCATTAATTATATCTGAGAGAAATGTGAGAAAAGAAACTTACACAAAGCTATAAAACATTTGTGCTTCCCTTTTCCAAAAAATAGACTCCGCACCATTTGGTAATAAGTTAACCGTATTCTTCATGGACCCTTTTGAACTGGCGTCTTCTCATAAAGTACAAACAAGACTTTAGAAAAGGAAGGGACACAGTAAACTGACATTTGCTATTTAATTCATTTAACACAGTTTTAGTAAGTGTGTTCCACATTTGTGTGCCAGTGGCAGTACATTCATATTGTGTGTACCTGCAGAAGCCTAAATGCTAACTGTGGTCACCAAGCAGTTCTGTAATTACTGTACTGGCAAACATAGAAAATCCAGAAGGATTTGTATGAATTCTTCCTATTATTAAAGAAATCGAGAGAGAGTGCGTGACATACCAGGGACAGAACTACAGCCCTCCTGCTGAAGAGTTCCATGCTGGAACAGTCCAGTAAGTACAACATTCTGAGCAGGAGAATTGCAGACCCAGGTCAGCATGTGAATTCTCATGCGTATGTAGGCTAGTTCCTTTTAATATTATCCAGACATGACCTAAGTCATAAGGACAGAGAAAATGGCTTTTGTTCATAGGCCTAATTTAAATGCAAGCAATTATTAGCACATCAAACTCACGGTCTGTCTAAGGAACAATCCTCCTTTTGGCTCACATTAAGATAAGTCAGTAGTTGCCTTTTGGGTCCATCTGCAAAGTATCATTTCATTTATATAAATTATTTTGTCTTTTGAATACCTGAGTAGTAATGAACAGTAAACAGCACAGAACCGTGGTCTATTTAAGGCTCCAGTTTCTTCTTGGGACACACGTAATGAAAATGTACATAAGGTTTGATAAAGATTTTTTTTTAAAAAGATTTACTTATTTTAAATTTATATGTATGAGTGTTTTCCCTGCATGTATGCATGTGTATTTCACGTGGGTGCTAGGAATGGAACATCTGTCTTCTGCAAGAGCAACCATACCTGAGCAATTCTTAAATACCTGAGTCGTCTCTCCAGCCCCTGGATGGTCCAGTCTACTTTGCTGAATCTACAACTGTTTTTGTCCACGTCCTAACCTGAGGGAAGGGGTTTAACCCACCAACTTCTATTTCCCGATCCATTAAGATGATGGCACACAGTTTAAACAGGCAGTGAGAATGAGATTGAACAGCTTAATTAAGTGAACGTAAGGACTTTGGCAAATACACCTGGAAGCAGCGAGGGCAACTGAAGTGCAGAATTGCTCAGGTTCACGCTGGAAGGTTTCTTCTCTATCAGGGACCTAACCTGCAACCTACACTTTTGACTATAATTTTTTTTTCACGATTTTTCTCCTTTCCTTGCAAAATACCAGATTCTCTAAATGCTATCAACACAGAGAGACTGCAGTTGTGTATATCTCTTTATATGTTTGTGTTTGTTACGATTTTTTCTTTCGGTCTCTCAGATAGAGTCAGCAGATGCTTGCCTGATCCTTGCCAATAAGTACTGCGCTGACCCGGATGCAGAAGATGCTTCCAACATCATGAGGTAACTCCTGGAATCAGGTGCTGGGGAAGGGCCTGGACTGGTCTCCCATGAGCGTACATGCACCCTTTCTTGGGAGTTGCAGAGGGCTGTCTTTGTGGACCATACTTCCTTCATCACCGGCCAACAATGGCTCCTGTGTGGAGTTGGCAGAGCTGAAGAGCAGTGTCCACTGCTCAGAACTGCTCGTGGAGTTCAGATTCCTAGAGAAAGAACTAGAGAATGAATAATAGGTTCAAGTCTGAATAAAAGTGCCATGAGTACAGGGCTTGGGAGGTGGCTCAGTTGGTGAAGTGCCTGCCTCCTGTGCAGTGTAATGACGTGAGTTTGAGCCCCAGAACTAATTTTAGAAACTGAGGCATAGTAGCACATTGTATCCTTAGGAGTCAGAGGCAACAGGTCCCTGGGATTCACCGGCCAAGCTGCCTAAACCTAACTCGGTGAGTTCCAGGTCACTGAGAGACCTGTTTTAAAAAGGCAAGGTGGTCCACATATAAAAATACTCAATATTGACTTCTGCCTTCAAATGGGCTTACACCTACACTTACACACAGAGATTCATACACATAAAATCTTAAATTTCCATTTTTTTTAAATTATGTTATCTGAAAGGAATTGGACCCAAGATGTCTTTACTGGGAAGGGTCTTAAAATACCTACAGGAGATATTTTCCAACATGTTTCAACATCTTTGCATTGGAAACAGCAAGCAGGTGGTCTTGCTGGAATCTGGTGGGTAGAGGCCAGGAATGCTGCCAAGCTTCCCACAAAGCACAGCACACTCCCATCTAGAAAACTCTCTGATCCAAAATGCCAGTGGTTGAGGCTAAGAAACCCCTAGTTAGTACTTCCCCAGCCTGTCTGCATCAGGTTAATACTGCTCTGAAAGTGATGAGTTGACTAACTTGTCTCAGTTTCCTCAGATGAGTGCTTTTAATATTGGCGTGGATCTCTGAGATACTGAATCATATAGATTATGTCTTCATTCTATATGGATTGAAGTCCCCACTCCTCATGTTTGTTTTGTTTGTTGTTTTAAATAGATCATGGTCTGGAGAGAAAACAAATCTAGAACACTAATAGTTAATGCCTTATCTGCCCATGGGCTAGGCCTCTCAAAGGCTAATTTAACCCCACTCTAAGACCTTAATTTACTCTCATTTCAGAAAAAGAAAAGGTTTCTTTAGCTATTGTCCTTCCCCAAAACTTATCATAATATCCCGTCTGTAGAAAAATGACCAAAAAAACGGAACGTTTTGCTTTTCTTAGCTATAATCCTTTTAGATTTTGTCTTTTCTCTGGTATAAATTGCAGAATAGTCACTTGAGGTAGGGGAAGATAATAAAGAGAACCTTCTAGAGAGAGCCTGGACTAAGGAAAATGCTTCATTCCCGCTGTAGTCCCAACAACTCTCACCTAACAGTGAACAGGCATCATTTGGACCAGACATATAGCCCAAATGTTAATTGCAGTTTGCTTCCCTGGGACTCAAGGATTTACCCCAAGGTGAGAGTGGGGAAGTTGCCTTTGGGTCTTTACAGTGCTGGTGAATATTTTCTTTTCGTTTGAATTAGTGTTCTCCAGTTACATGTACACACAGAATTCCTCTGGTGCATTTAGGTTGATCCAGTCTTCCTGTCAGTATCTGGACCTTATGTCTGGAAGAAACCATCTGGCGTGATCGTCTTTCTTTCCAGTCTTTTTCCTTTGGCAGTATGCTCCGTTTGGTGTTTTAAGGAAATTTGTGCACACATTCTGGTAAGACTCGGTTTGCCAGGCTACTAAGAAGATGCAGTGGGGACTAGCATCACACCTGAGCCCGTCTCCTTATAGGCCTTACTGCAAAGTGACCACACAGGTCAGCTTCAGTTTAGAATGTGTCCCTTGTCATTTTCTGAACTAAGCAGCATTTCTACCCTTTGACAGATTTTTTTTCCTACCATTTTAAGTGACAAAATATAGCTCTTCTAGGGACAAGGTTCCATCCTTTTCCTTATTACAAACAAAGAAACGAGGAACACGAAGCTTATGTTTTTGACCTCACAGAGAAGTTTCTGGCATATTTACTTTTATTTTTCCTCAGTGGTGAAAAATAGAAACTTGTGGTAATTTTGAAATGGGCATTTTTCATAATTGAGATATTTTATTTGAATTTTGAGGATAAAAGGTTAATGTGAGCACACATAGGTGTCAGGGAGAATGGAGGGATGTCAAAGTTAGAACTCACTGGCACAGAGGGCTTATGGAATGTAAGGAAGCCATTCACTAAGGAGGATCGGGAAAAAGATCCAAAAGGGAGTGGGAAAGTCGGGGTTAAATGTGGCTTCAGCTTTTCTTCTATTTGTAAATTCCTCCTTAGATTAATGAGACCAATCTGCTGTTTTTGAAATTAAAATGTCAAAGAGTCATTTGAAATGAACTAATACAGAAAGCTGGCTGGAGCTGGAGATGGCTCTCAGAGGCGGACAGAGGCTGACAAATGCCCTGGGTTATAAGCAGAGGCCAACATAACACTCTCTCGGAACTGAGCGGAAGTCCTTCCGGTGCAAATCTCTGGGTGAATGTGCGCAGAGCGGCCTTCTAAGGCTCCGTCTCTCCACTTCTCTGGTTGCAGTTTCTTCCGATGAAGCTGCTGTCTGATTGCCTTCTCTCCAGTTTTGCAAAAAACGTGCACAGGGAAGCGCTGAGCTGGGTGGGAAGTTTGTGGGGGCGGCTGTGATAATTGAGCTTGCATTCCTGAGGAGGCTTAGGAGGTGGCCCTTTCTCCGGAATTCCGTTCTTTAGCCTTCCTTGTCACAGAAGGAAATGTACAATGTCACCCCTGACAGGGTTGGGAATGACAAAAACCATAACTTACACGTGGAGAAGGGCTTTAATGATTTCAAAGCATTTTAACATCTGGTCTCCCATTTGCTCCTCATACCAAGCCTGTGAAGTAAACAGAGCAGGTGAGGTTGCCCCCAGTGTCCAGATGAGAAGACAGGAACAGAGAGCCTGGGGATTTCCTCAGGGTCACCCAGTTCATTAGCACAATGGCTGTGCTGGAAGCCAGCTGTTTCCATTCAAGGGCTCCCTACTTCTTCCCTTTGCAGTGTGATTGACAGGAGAGGGGATAGGGAAGATTGGTGGGTAGGGTCATCCAGACTCAGTAAAGGATGGAGGGCAATAAACCGTATGTTTAGGGTGCTGGTGTTTAACTTGAACCAGTGGTCAAGTCATCATTATGTTGTGTAAGGCAGAGTCCTCGATTATATCCCAAGAGTTCTGCTTAAATATCACATTTATGCGAATGTCTAAAGGGAATGTGAAAATCAGAGCCACTTGCCAGGTGGCCTGTTTGAGTTGTCGTCATTGTCTTAGGTTGTTAACTGGACACGGAGCAGAGGTTTTTACGTGCGGTGTGGAGGACTGCAGACCTCCAGAACTTGTCTGTAAGCATCAGAAGCTCCCATCTCCAGTCCATTCAGGTTCATAGTCTGTCTCCTAGATGTCACAGGGGTCCTTCGTGTTTGTTTTCAAGGCAGACTCTCATGTAGCCCAGGCTAGCTTTGAACTTGCTCTGTAGGCAAGTCTGGTCTTAGAGTCCTGGTTGCCAGCCTCCATCTATCAAGTGTACCTCACTACCCCGCCTACTCTGATGTTTGCAATGTCTCGTATATACACCAGCGGGTGCCTTGACATTTCTTTGTCATGGTCCTAAGGGGTAATGTGAGGAGAACACATTCTTTCTTTGGACACAGCCCCCTGGATGGCCCTGGTTGCTTGCTTGACTGAGGTTACCTAAGGAGACGAATCCTCCATCCTACTCTGTGGGTTCCACAGAGCCTGCTTCAGTTCAGTTTTCTCTTTTGCAGAGTGATCTCCATAAAGAACTACCACCCGAAAATCAGGATCATAACTCAGATGCTGCAGTATCATAACAAGGTACGTGGTAAACCTACCAGGCCTGAAGCCATCCTCAGACCTCGGGTCCTAGCACCTTCTCTCTCTCCATAGACACACACATATATTCATGTAAGGACACAGGTTCGCATGCCCCGAGGTCTGGCAAAGATAAGCATTAGTTAAAATGTCCCTTCTTTCTAGGACATTCCTTCAGGGTCATCAACTTACTTTTTGAGGTGGGCCAATGGGAGGAGGAGCCTTTGTCGCCTCTTATAGTAATTCATTCATTCAGGAAGAAGCTATTGAACGTGTTGGTCCAGAAATATTGATATGTTCTTAGATCCTGTCCATACCTAAGTCCCAACAACTTGCATGGCTATGTCCTGTAGTCATTCAGTCAATATCTATTGAATAACTACTCTGTAATTAACCCTCTTCCTGCTACTTTGGGGGTAGAATAGCTGTGAAGATAAAATCTGATTTTGTGTCCTTAGAGACTGATCAAGAAAGGTGTAGAGAGTGTGCCAGATAACTGGTAGGATTTCTCTCTGTGTGGCCAAGTGCACTTGAAAGAACATAATGCAGACCAAGTAAGGAAAGCAGAACACGGCATTATCCCCAAATTCGGAATGGGAATCTCCCCAGTTACACTTGAGAAAGCAGTGGTTTATCCAAAGTTTATACTTAGAGCAATGTTCCCAGTGTGTCAGCTTCCAATGGGGCCTGGTTAAAAAGAACTCAAACATTAGAGTTAGTGTTTCTGTTGTCATTGCCTCTCATTGAAACAGAGCTAAAGGTCCAATCAAAGGCAGCACTCCTTCACTTGGCTTGTGGTGGAGCTCTAGACAGCTTTGGAGGAGGGAAGGTAGCATGTTGTTCTACTTGATATGGTACCAGTTGTCTTCTTAATGGAGCTTAGAGACTGGAGGCTTCTCAGCACCTGGGGCCAGGTGTCCTGGCTGAATAGAAATAACTCCCTGCAGGGTTATGTGTGACAGCATGCCCTGTCTTATAGGCCATATTCTCTACAAAACAAGTCATCAGGTGTCCCAGAGAAAACCCCATTCTGCCAAATGCCACCAGCACCGTGCTATTATTTCTTAATTGCTGGCAAGTTTTGGCCCATTTAGCTGTGTGGAGACCCATCAGAGGCTATTGCTGAGTGGGTCCTGCTGTCAGCGACTGGCCCACTGCTTGGAATTGCTGCCCAATGCCGACCATTGTCCAGCCCTCGGCAGGTGGCTCTATTGGAAATTCTGTTACTCTCCAGCCAGTGGGTTTGGTGGTGGGCACCAAAGGTGACACTGCTCTTTGACTCTGAATACCCAAGACTGCGATAAGGGGTCTGTTGGTGACTTACAGGCAGCAACTGGTGAAGTTCTTGACAGCAGCCTCTGTAGGTGGAGGTGAATTTTATTAGCACGGCTGTGACTGGTGACAGCTCCTGCTGCAAGGAACACTCCTTCTTTCATTTGTGATTTGAAATTTCATTTAGTGTGGGAGTGCTTTAAGCGATTGTTTAGATTTTTGGCTGAATTTAGACTGAATAGGAAAATTAATGTTGTATGTTTAGAAAAAGATGTCAGTTCCTTTTCTTCTCTTTCCAACGGGTGCTGATGTAGCATCTTCAAGAAATTAAAGAGGATTTCAGCTGTGTAGTTCTTGTCAAACTCAAAGCAACTTGATTGGCCTCAGAACCAGATGGTACCTGGTCAGTATTCACATGAGTACAGCCACCCGAATATCTTGGACAGACTCTCCAATACAGTCAGTCAAACACTGTGATGAAGACATCAACAGGCCCAGGACTATTTGCTTAAAACACATCTTGTTTAGAACCATCCCACTCACTCTCCTTGGGTTTCTAGGTCAGGCAAAATCATTTCAGAACACTGTTAGAGCAGTAAGGATGCAGTGATAGAATAACTTTGACAAAGTACATTTTCTTCTGTTACTTCCCATCTCCCTGTTAGAGTGGGCATCCTCTTGTCTTTAGGTCATTCTTAGTAGATTTGTAGTAGACAGTTTTTCATACTACTTTGTGATTTGCAGTTGCCCATAGTGTCCGACCCTTTTCACACACTCTTCTTTTCTTCCAACATTTTCTTCTTCCCGTGACTTTTTCTCTGTGCTCATCTGAGATGCACATAGAACTCCCCCCACTTATACAGGCACTTAGGAAAGACCTGATGCTTGTGTGAAAACCATGCCACTGAGGACATATTCTGGAGGAGGTAGTGGCTCCCACAATTGGACAGCAGGCTTGAAATAAAAACAATGTCAAACCCCCATGATGTAACGAGGGTGATATTCTGGAGCCTAGAGGGATGCAGGGAAACTGCTGGCCTTGAGTTTGTCATCATAATAATTACAGACATTTGTGTCCTGTTTTATGGGTTTAAAAGAGCTTTGACATCCATTATCTCATTTAGTCCTCATTGGGCCATCTGTGCATTTTAGCTTCCCAGTGTAACATCAGACTAGCAGGAGTCAAAACTCTGTCCTAGACAGATCACCTCTGGCGAGCACAAACCACGGTCCCTCAACAGCCAACAAACTAGGACAGGATAGTCAACTGCCACCTTCTATTTAAACGGGACAGTAGCCCGTAGAACCACACTGTGGTTCTTAGGGGAAGGATGGTACTCTACAAAATGGGTCTCTTTACAGTGGCTACGTTTTACAGAGAGAACTTTTAAAAACTGGCCTTCTCTGAATGAAGATGAAAGAGTGTGTTGGCTGACAGTGTGTAAGTAAAGCTCTCCAAAGACAGGACGATGCATGACACACTGGACGGAAGTGTCATTCCCAATAACTCACCTGGTATTGGTAGTTTTATTTCCCGAGCTTCTTGTCTCTGTCTAGAAACCAAGTCTCCAGCACGGATGCCAGTTCTTTGAGCATCCCCATTGTCTCTGCTTGCCTGTGGGGCATAGTTGTGTTCATCATTGCCTTCATAACTTTCCTGTGTCTATGATAGGACACTCACGAAAGCACCTGCATGAACGAGGGTCTTATTTCTGCTCACAGCTCCAGGCTCAGTCTATCCTAGAGAGGAGGTCAAGCTTCCAGGAGTCTGAAGGAGCTGATTATGTCAACATCCACCATCAGGAAGTATAGAGATGAATACATACAGTTACTCAGTTCCCTTTTTTCCACTTATGCAGTCCAGGATTCCAACCTGGGAATGGTGCCACCCACAGCGGGTGGGTCTTCCAACCTCAATGACAGAATGAAGGTAATCCCTCACAGGCATGCCATGAGGCCTGTCTCATAGATGAGTCTAGATTCTGTCAGTCATCACAGGCTGCTTCCTGTCATTCTATCAATGAAGCTTTGGGCCATGATGAGTTGGCCTTGCTTTCTTAGGCTTGTGCTAAGACAACACATCATTTGGGGAAAGACTGGTGGAAAGCAATGGGTCAGTTCATAGCCATCAAATCAAAAAGGGCTGACTGGTGTCATTCTAGCTTCTTGCTAGGCAATGATCTTAATGACTCAAAGACCCTCTACTAATCGCTACCTCCCAGAACTTCCACTTCCTCCCAAGAGAGTCGCTCGCTGGGGATGAAGCTGTTAGCATGTGGTCCTTCAGTGGTCAGCGACTGAAGACGCAGACCACAAATGCTGTGGGTTTCCCACTCGTAGATGCTTCACTTTCTGTTTTTCACAGCATCTCTCTACGACTGAGTGTGTGGTAGGAGAAAGAAGCATAGCCAGAATTCATTCCTCCTGCCTTCCTCAGACGGCTTGTTTTATAGTCCTTCTCCAGGGAATGAAGGATGTTACAGTAGCATCAATGGAGGGGGAGGCTGTGATTAATGTTGGACCTGCTTTCTTTCTTTGTCAAATTAGAAAAAAATTTGCCTCCAGATTCCTGTGTGGAAATGCTGCTGGGTTTTTTGTTTTGTTTTGTTTGTTCACCAGTCTCAACTTCCCTCAAATGGAAGAGGATAAAGTTTCCAAAAAGAAAGAATTTTAGTTCCTGGGTTAATATCCTCTTTTGCATACGGCCTTCCCTCTTGGCCATTGCCAGTTTAGCTTCACTTCCTGTCCCATGACTGGAGAAAATACAGTGGCCAAGAAAGGAGGCACTAGAAGCTGGGAACAAACATGACTTTTACATAGAATATGAGAGACCCAAGGCTTGCATGCCGGAGCTTCATATTTTGAATGGCATAGAGATAGGGCAGACTTCCTGCAAAGTTTCAATTGTTTGAAGATGGTGTGGAGGTTATGTGGTGTCTCCATCGGGACTAGACCACCCGGATCTCTTGTCACACACAAGTTCATCACTTGGATGCCATTTATCATTCTTCTCATATGAGTATTTCTCCACTTGGGTGAAGATCTTTTGTAAAAATGAAAATTTTTACGGGAAAGTAAAATGAAAAAACTGATGTCATAAGCCAGGGAAGAATGGGGAGAAAAACGGGAAAGAGGGTGGGACTTTCTGTTAGCATTGTGTGGGATGTGCAGAAGACCCCGTGGTTCTCCACTCCACACAAATCCCACTTTTCTGTGGCCCACACACAGGCCTGTTTTAACCACACTTTGTTTAGGGAGCAAGCAATCATCTGTTCAGCAGTAACCACTGCAGGCTTGGGATTGGAGACTGTCACAGAGGTGGATTTTGCAAGCAGACATTTCACAAGTGTAGGGTTTCTCCAAGCAGAGCATAAAGTCCTGGTCTCTGTTCTTTGTTTCTACAATGGGATCTTCCATCCTTCTTTTGCAACTGGCCTCTGTCGTTCTGAAGATGAAGGGAAGGCTCTTTCGCTGCTTCCCATTTGCTGATGCATAGGGAGATATAATTTCAGAGCTATAGAGAGTTGGCATGTACAGGGACTTATAAGAACTCTGGGTCAACTTGCTGTACAAAACGTGATTTACTCTGGCATGTTGGAAAAATGCTAAGTTTTAGGAATAAAGACTTTGTGTTTTTGTTGATGCTGTTGTTTAAACTAGCCATCTCCATTTATTAGTCATATTTCATCCTTAGAAAGTTCCTTTGTAAAACAAGCCAAAACCCCTCTGCTTTCTTTAAATATATGCCAGGCCGGTTCTATCCTGGCTTCAAGAAAAGAGTAGAGCAAAGCTAATTTTGACATAGTAGTACCTGAGGCATCAGATATGATGACTACCTTCTCTCCCTGAGGATCGTGTCCCCTGAATCTTGGAGATTTCTGGCTCTTCCTACTATTTCTCAAAAGACCTTTTGCAGAACACTCACCCTCTCTTGTCTTCATTTTTCTCTGGTCATTATTCAATTGATTATTTTCCCTCTTCAATTTTGACTACTAAGACTGGATCAAATCCTGTGGAATGAATGTGGCCTGTTCACATGGAATAAAAGGTTCATTTCCTTTGCTCTGGAGACTTTGGTTTTCGGTCTCGTGTATCCAATGGTCTCTAATTGAAGTTTAAGTAACCCACACACTTAAATGCTGTGCCCAGCTCTCTCTTTCTCTAACACACACTCTCTCTCTTAGATTTGTCTTCATGTTTCAAATTTATATAATTGATGTTTTTGAACAGAAGCACTGTCCCTGATATTCAAGCTTTGAAACTCTCTTCTGCTGTTATTGTTGTTAATCACCAAACACTAGAGAACTTCCTGAATTTCAACCTTTTCACTCACTCTGTCATCTGTGACTCTCTGCTGTGTGCCACACAAAAACTAGTGTGAGCATGCCTCTGGAACTACAGGCTCGGTTCTGACCTAACTGTGGAATAGGACAGTCCATCTGTGGGAGACTGCGGGATGTCTGTGCTATGATGGTTTAGGGGAATGGGTCCTGCACAGTGGCCTCCAGAGCAGCACCATTACCTCCCACATATAGACTTGGAGGCTCTCCAGCTCCACCCCAGATCTATGCAGGGTGGGGCCAGCAACCTGTGGTCTTGTACACATTGCAGGGCATGCAGGAACCCACCAAGTTTTGGGTGTCATTGATCTGAAATATTGAGAAGGCAGGGAAAAAAATCCAAGAGCATGCAGACACATAGACATCCGGCAATCTCATACTACTTGAGAGCCACTTAAAAAAAAAAAAAGCTAACTAGACTTTTTAATAATGGAGGCTGGTGTATCTCACAAGAGAAAAATCCTCTCTGGGTTGACTCTGGCTAAATAGCAAACTTGAGAGGAGGATGTGGACTTTGAGTGTCGTAGCAACGTTGCCAAAAGGCCATAGTCTGTTGAATAGAAGCAGAGAACCTAGCCATAGGCCTCAGACCGAGGCACATGGAAGGAAGGATGAGTTTGGATGACCCAGTGTCCTTGGACAGGGCAACAGTTCCCAGAAGAGATTTCAGACACTCAGACAAGGAGCAGAACAGGGTCTCATACCTCTTGTTATTCCCACAGGCCCATCTGCTCAACATCCCCAGCTGGAATTGGAAAGAGGGTGATGACGCAATCTGCCTCGCGGAGCTCAAGTTGGGTTTCATAGCCCAAAGCTGTCTGGCTCAAGGCCTCTCCACAATGCTTGCCAACCTCTTCTCCATGAGGTCATTCATAAAGGTAACGTCTTGTCTTATTAGAGCACATTAGCCGAGGATTCCATTTGTCGTGGGGTTGAGTAGAGCACCGCTTAAACTCAGAACAGATTGGCGGGCTTTAACTTCTCCGCTCGAGGAGAAATTCCTTGTTACAGATTTGGGAATGAGGCCAGCTCCTTTCAAAATTATGTTTTTATTTTTATTTGGCACATCCGTGGCCATTAAATGATTGTTCAAAGCACAATCCTCTCTCTCTTTTTTTTTTAGATAAACCACATGTTTATCTATCAACAAAGCCTCCACTGTTAAAACAAAAATATGATTTATATACATTCCATATGGCCCCAGAGTGCCTAAAGAAAAGAATTATCATTTTGCTCTTTTCTATCGAGTGGCTGGTGGACCTCTCACTGTGGGGATAAATGCAGACCATGTGTTTGTGCTGAAGCCCAAACCCCAACAACATAATTCATTTATTTACTTCTGCGCAATCAAGGAGGCCGGCAAGGCTGACATGCCATGGCTATTTGAATGGAGAAAGAAAAGATGAACCGAGTCTTCACCCCAAGAGACGTGCAGTCTGGATGTGTTCATCTCCCTGTCAGAGCTCACTGGGCAGCCACCACTCCTAGTCTCCAGATGGCTAATGGGCCAACTCAGGGAGAGAGAATGAACCCACTCTGTTCTCCAGGGTCTAGGCTTTGAGTGCCTCTGAGTCTAGGTGCCTAACTAAGCAAGTTTCTGGAGCATGGGCTTCGGCAGTCAAGGTTGCACACCACATCTGTGCATTGTGTTTCCTAGAGCTGGGATGTGTCAGGCCTCTACCCTGTGTACCTATGTCACTGGCATTATTTAGCCAATAGGTAGTTATCATAGTATGACATAAAGAATAGCTTGTCTTGGACCCACTCCCGCAATTGTAGCCAGGCTTATAGTGAATAACGTCTTGATTTAAAATATGTCCTCTGTGTTTATTCTGTACCTATAGACCCCAGTTCAACAGAACTTCAAGTTCAGACCCACTTACAAATAAAGTCACTGTGTGCTTCTAAATGTCCTCTTTAATTCAGGCTGCTTTTGCCCTGCATAGATGAAACTGAGTGCAGGCAAAATGAAAGTAGCAGGGAGGTCTGTGTGGCTGTGTTTCGGGAAGGGGCACCAAAGCCAGATGTAGCCATGTGTTTCCCAGGACTTGTCTGCTCAATCCAAGGAGGCCAGACCTAGGTTAACGAACTGTCACCGAGAGAACCGCCCTGGCGCTTCCACTGGAGCTCTGGAGGTTTTCTCCCAGCAGAGGCTTGCTCACAGGCCCCGGCACGTGGTCTGAGGAACTGGGTTCTGCTTCCTTGTGTTGCTGTGACATGGGCCTTGGCAGAGCCCCACCACAGATGGGGCCACTTGACATGCGTATGTTTTGATTTTGTGGTGCCTGCATGGTAACTAGATCTGCCTGTCAAGAAAATTAATGAAATGACTCTGACACTGATTCTTCAGTGTTCTTACCAGCAGAGAGCACTTCTGCCTGACTTTCCTTGGGACTCTGACGGGCCTCACCTCTAAAGCCAAGGACGTCCCTTCCAGCTCCACTAATCCCTTTGCCAAGTTCCTGTTTAGGAAGAGCCTGTGGGAAAGGCTGGACCAGGCCCTGGTATAACTGAAAACACATTTTCCTCCCAGGGTTATATTACTGCATTGTTTTTGTTCGGGGCCAGCTCTCCCGTGTTTGGAGGCAGCTCTCTGGATATGACCTTTTGACAGAAGGTGGTCTTTGTGTTAGAATTTGCTAAGGGCATAGCCTACAAATCACATGACTTCCTTTCCTACATCATAAAATTTAGAGTAAGGACAGTCTCACTTAATGTATTCCGTGTTCTTCCTTGTAATCTATGTGTGCTTATCCCCGAGTCCTAGAGCCATGGTCTCTTTCGGAGCTGGCGGAAACCATGCTGTCATCCTATCCTCGGTGTGTTTTCTGTATTATTACAAAGCTTGTTTCGTTTGAGGATGAGTGCAGGTGGAGACGGAAGTCTGTAAATGGATTCTTGTTTACAGAAATCACTTCTTTCCCCAACTCCCTCATAACCTGTGGTAGAAGAGTCACCAGCACTTCCATCTGGTGGAGGCTTTGGCAGTGCTTCATCCTTTGGGAACACTTAGTGTTTCTGCAAAGCCAGAGGGAGATGTGAGCTCACCTTCTCACTTGCCCTGGGCAAATGTTATCTGTTTCCGAGTTCTGCAGAATGTATTATACTTTACTTCTGCTCAAAGAAGAAAGGTCAGCAAGGCTCCAGTAGTGTAGATGGCTCACAGGCAGAAGCACACAGTGGCTATCATTGGGGCCTTTGATTATGTATGGGACTTAAAGTCCAAGACCCAAGCTGAAGATAGTAAGGTTTAACCGAAGCAAGAGGTGCCACTCGGATATATAATTTGTAAAAGGGACCTGAACTGGAGATGAGAAGAAATATATGGGAGTAATTACTTACGACTCTACTAGACACTCTCAACCAAGGACCTGCAACCCATTACCCTTTAAAACCTAGTCCTCATTTGGATATGTTACCTCTGAGCTGACCTAAATATTTTGGGATTCATTGATATAATAACCTACCATTTTAGGAGTAATGAATTCTTTAACTTTGCTAATTACCAAAGAAATTCTGGCTTTTTGTGCATTTTCCTCTTGGTTAATTTATTCCGAACATGCTTCAATGCGTTTCCCCTACTGTTCAGTGGTATTTATATATCCACGCTAACCAGATATCCAATACCTTTAAGGAAGAGGCCCAGATTCGTATCCGGGGCTCCTATAGTTCTTTGGCTGTTTGCAGGGCAGGATAATTTTTTTTCCAGCAAGGAATCATTTTCACCCTTGATGTCCCTTAATCAGAGCCAGCAGAAGTCTTGGTGCCTGTGACTTATCTCCTGGCTGGAGGCCTCCTGTTTACCCCTAACCCTCTGATCTCCTTCTACTGGCCTCTCAGATTTCAGCAAGAGTCCCCTTAATGTTTTCTGGAAAGACTAAAACAATGGACTTGTTTAGCGTTGTCTGCCATCACCTCATCCCTGAATAAATGGACCACACTTTAAGACCATTGATTTTGGGGTTTTGTGGGTTTTTTTTTTGTATATGTAGTTTCAAATTCCTGTTCAGCCTACTGAGTTTCAAGTTGGGCCTTAACCCTCCATTTTTTTTTTATGAATGGAGCTATTATTCATACTAGAAAAAAGTATTCGTGGACATGATGGATTGTGCATTTGTGTGTATGGTTTCTCTATGAAATTGATTGACTCTTAAAATTGCTTCTCATTCAACACTGAAACTTTCAATTAAGGACATTAAAATGGGTTGCCAGTTATTTTAATTCTGCTTATTTGTCATTTAACACACACACACACACACACACACACACACACACTGTACCCTGCAGCATGGCATGGGCTTGTAATCTGCAATTTCTTTGTAAAGAAAGTCAGTTAGGAGAATGGAGAAAATATGTTAGGTAAGTGTGGTGGTTTAAAGGAGAAAATATCCTCCATGAGTTCAGATAGTTGAACACTTGGTCCCCAGTTGGTGGCACTGTTTGGGAAGGTTATAGGAGGTACAGCCATGCTGGAGGAAGTATGTCACTGGGGGCAGGCTTTGGGAGCTTTCTGATTCACTCTTTCTGCTTCACACTCTCACTCTGGTTAAAGATTTGATCTTTTGGCTTCAGGCTTTGGCTGCCATGTCTGTCTCTTGTTGCCATGCCTACCTATTGTTGCCATACCTCTCCGTAGTGATAGACTTTCCCCTGACACTATAAACCAAATAAATGTTCCCTTTATAAGTTGTCTTAATCATGATATTCTGTCATAACAACAGAAAAGTAACACAGTAGGGTATTATATTGTTTTTGTTTGTTCTTGTTTTTATAAGATCTGGCAATCCTGGGTAAATTGTTCTTGGTATTGAACACAGCAAAGCTTTCTCTGGTGCTTTTTATATGCCTAAATGGGGAAGCACTGTAGGGGTAGAGTTTGTACTCCTTGGATTGTTGACTGGCTGAGGTGCTCATGACTAGATACAGAAGCCATTTGTTCCTCATTGTTTTTACTACACAGTGAGGTCAGCCTTCATCAATACATAGTCCTGGCACTAAATGTAGTTAAGAAAATTATGGTTTTGTTTTTGAGACAGGATATTATTATGTTACACAAGCAGGCCCTAAGCTGTTGAGCTTAATCAGTCTTCCAGCTTCATCTAGGTATGTGCCGCTATGCCCAACTAAAGTGAATCAATTTAGTATCTTTAGATTGGATTATATTCGTACACAGGTGGGTGTTTGTACAAGTTATGTATAAAAATAATCTGCTTTAGGAGCTGGAAATATAAAGACCTTCGGATAATTGCCCAAATGTACAGAATTCTAACAACTTTTAAAACCTTGAATGTATGGAATTCTAACAACTTTTAAACCTTGCCCTTAATACTTCATATTATTTTATTTTATTCCCCTAATAACCTATACAAACTAGGCACTGTAATCAGCCACCTCAAGAATTGATTCCAGGTTTGTCCTTGAGAATACCAAAAAGGATTAAGGATGAGACACTTTCTTAGCAAGTATAACCACCATACTATGAGGCTTAGTTTCTAGGCTTCACTTTATGGAAACCATTGATTCAGGAGAGTTCCCAGAGGCACATATATCCCAACACACAGAGTACAGCAATGTGCTTATGGCTTAGAAGCACTGCTAAGATTCAGGAAGCTTCTGTTCTGATAGGGAATGGGTGGACACATGTTTACATAGCCTTGTCAATGAGTCTGATTCACCTTTTGCTCTGGCCATTTATGTAAAGGTGTCAGAGTCAATGCATCAGACAGGTTAGATTAGACTATGACAAGATCAGCAATGGACTAGGCTGTCAAGAGGACTCGCTTAAGGAAGTTTTCCTGGGAAAAAGGCAAGTGAAAAAGGACTCTCTGCCAAAACAGAACCAATTGTGTTTGTGATGTGTGAATGTGTATGTATGTAC